GCTGCTGCTGTTGCTGCTGCTGCTGCTGTTGCTGCTGCTGCTGCTGCTGTTGTTGTTGTTGTTGCTGCTGCTGCTGTTGTTGTTGTTGTTGTTGTTGTTGTAGTTGATGGTTTGCTGTTGTTGTTGCTGCTGCTGCTCCTCTGCTGCTGCTGCTGCTGCTGCTGCTGCTGCTGCTCATTTGTTGTTGTTCGTGCTGTTGCTGCTGCTGCTTCTGCTGCCCTGCTGCTAGTTTCCTGTTGCTGCTTTATCCTTGATGGAAAATGCTTTGTTGCTGCTGCTGCTGCTGCTGCTGCAGTTGCTGCTGCTGCTGCTGCTGCATCTGTTGACGTATCTCCTGTCTGCTTATATATGGTAATTTGCGTTTTGCTGCTGCTGCTGCTGCTGCTGCTGCTGCTGCTGCTGCTGCTGCTGCAACACCTCCCCCACCGTTCCTTCTGCTGCACCTCCTGCCTTTCCTTCTCCTTCTCCTTCCCCTGCTGCTGCTGCTGCTGCTGCTGCTGCTGTTCAGGTACACTGTTTGTGTCTGCTGCTGCTGGTTACTGCAACTCTGTTCGTTTGTCTCGCCGATGGATTTCGTTGCTGCCGGTTAGGGGAGAACTTTATGTTGATTTGGGGTGTATACGCAGCTTGGTGCTCCATAGAAAAAGCCTCTTTGCTGCAGGTCTGCTGCTGCTGCTGCTGCTGCTGCTGCTGCTGCTGCTGCTGCTGCTGCTGCTGTTGTTGTTGTTGTTGGTTTTGGTGCTGCTGCTGTTAGAGGAGAACTTTATGTTGATTTGGGGTGTATACGCAGCTTGGTGCTGCATAGAAAAAGCCTCTTTGCTGCAGGTCTGCTGCTGCTGCTGCTGCTGCTGCTGTTGCTGCTGAGTCTGCTGCTGTTGCTGCTGCTGCAGCAGCTGCTTCTGCCGCATCTTCTTTATCTACTGCATCTGCCGCTGCTGCTGCTGCTACTACTACAACTACTATTACTACTCCTGTTGCTGCTGCTTTATCTCCATCTGCTGCTGCTGCTGCTGCTGCTGCTGCTGCTGCTGCTGCAGGTATAAAGAGTGTACGAGGCCAGTTCATGGCTGGCGAGTGTCTTTCTATTTTTTTATTTTTTTTTGAAGCAAAAAATAAAACAAAAAAAAACCA